CAAAATATTTAGATTTGTTTTGAGCTGTTTACTGACATTTTAATTTTTCAACTTTTTTAGTTTTTTTTTCTATAAATATCGATAAATATTTATTTGTCGGGTAGAAAAGCTCCTAACACATTTTTACAATAGCAGTTGAAAAATAAAAGGAATGCACTGTTATATTTTTTTTTACAAGCATTTAAAGTTTGAATTTTGACAACATACGTAAAAATCACAAAATTTCGCAAATCATTTTAAGCTAGAAATTCATGAACAATTTTATTTTTAAAATCTAAGATTTGAAAATTTTTAATAATCTTTAATATATCCTAGACAGACAAACCGTCTCCRATCAGAATCGTTTTTCGCATACAATAATATTATATCATTGAATTTAAATTTAATTCCATCCATTACAGTAACCCACTTGTAACCTACTGTACAGCAGAGCGACATCCACTTACCCAACTTTTTTTTATTGRAAAATGCATGTACCACTTGTGACTTAAAACTATGATATTATAATAATTTATTTTATTATTTGTTTTTGGTTGTGTACCAGTGTTTTTTTTTGCGATCCCCACAGGCTACATTTACGATACATTGTTGGTACTTTTCTATCRAAATAAAAATAAAATATCATTATTACTTATTAGTGCTGTGTTATAAATAAACAATTAAATTCGGAAAATCCTCATAAACTGCATAACTTAATATTCAATTGAATTGGGAATTTCAAAAAGGGCTCACATCAGAAAATTAAATTTTTTTAGGAAACTCAAAAAAACTGATTGTCTTTTTAATTTTGTTTTTATTGAACCATTTTTTTTTTTCTAAAATGACAGACTATTATTTAATGTTAAGCTCTTGTAATATATTATTCTTGAAGTGAAATTTTATTGGAAAAGCGATTCATTAAGTTTTCTGAAATCTTTTTTTGTAAAAATTCGAGATGGGCCCTTTTCGAAATTCCCAATTCAATTACATATTTTATAGGCATTAGCCACACATTTATACTAATTTAAATCAGTTATCATTYAAAGTGTTTTAGAACTTAATATAGTGTCTATTTACTGAGTGATCTTGTTCTATTGTTAATAAGTTAAAAAGAACTTTTTCGAAATGAGTAACTCAAGAAAACTCAKAAGTGATATGTGGAGATATTTTACATATGTTGATGAGCATTATGCAAAATGTGACATATGTAAAACTAAAATTTCTCATAAGACAACTATGTCAAATTTAAAAAAGCACATTGAAAGAAAACATCCTTTAATAAATTTACAACCTGAAGTAGATGATGAAATTAACCAACCAAGTACTTCAAATAGTGCACAAGTAATTATTACCATTAAATTGTCATCACGCAAAAAGTGACCAAGTGAAAATGTTTAAGGTTTTATTTTGAAATTAGTATGACTCCATAATTATTTAATTATTTCACTTTGTYACTTTTTGTGTGACGACGACTAAGTATAAATTAATTTCCTTTATTTTAATTATGTTGACTGCAGAAACTAGATTAACTTATTGTATTATTGTCTTATATTATGTTAGGCTACTACTCTAGGATTACAATCCATGCCAACTATAAGTATACGTCAAGTAAATCCTTCTACATTAATTGTGGAAGAAAATGTTGACAACCCTTCCTCTGAAACCGTAGAGTCTTCAAATCACATAATTAAAAAACGTAAAACAACAAATACTTTGCTAAATTATATACCAAGAAAAATGACCAATACATATCAAAGTCAGTTGGATGATATTTTATTAAAATTAATATATTTAGATTGTCAACCTTTTAGTTTAACTGAAAATGAAGGGTTTAAACAATTTKTTCATTTGTTAAACCCTGCTTATAAACTACCAAGTAGGCATAAGCTATTAAAAACTTCATTGCCATTTGCTTATGAAAAGTTATTTAATGAAACCAAAATAAAAGTTCAGGAAGAAGCCTTATCGGTTTGCTTGACCACTGACTGCTGGACTTCTATAAACAATACAAGTTTTTTAGCTGTTACTGCTCATTATGTCGATCCGAATTTCAATTTAAAATCAGTATTACTTCAATGTGCTCCTTTTACTGAAAAACACACAAGTTTGAACTTAAGCATAATCAGACACTACAAGTACAATTTTATCGGTTTGCTTGACCACTGACTGCTGGACTTCTATAAACAATACAAGTTTTTTAGCTGTTACTGCTCATTATGTCGATCCGAATTTCAATTTAAAATCAGTATTACTTCAATGTGCTCCTTTTACTGAAAAACACACAAGTTTGAACTTAAGCATAATCATCCAATCAATTATTGAAGAATGGCAAATAAAGGATAAAATTGTACTTGTAGTGTCTGATAATGCTGCTAATATAAAAGGTGCAATAAGTACACTAGAATTAAAACATTTTGGGTGCTTTGCCCACAGCTTAAATTTGATTGTGCAAGAAGCATTAAAAACACAATCAAATTTAATAAATRCTGTGAAGACGATTGTCGGGCATTTTAAGCGAARTTCAAATGCTAACCACCAACTGATGCTTTACCAGGATAACTCAGGGGCAACACCAAAAAAACTACTGCAAGATGTAGCCACACGTTGGAATTCCACATTTCATATGTTGAATCGGTTTGTTGAATTGGAAACCACTGTAAAGGCAACTCTAGCAATAATAGATGCAGATTTACATATACTTTCATCTGAAGAATGGAAGATATGTAAAGAGTTGTGTCTTGTACTCAAACCATTTGATGAAGTCACAAAATTAGTAAGTGGAGAGAACTATATGTGTGCTTCTATSGTTATTGTTTTGAGCAAAGGATTAGCTGATGTATGTGAAAAATTGAAAAATAAGCCTTTTGATTCTTCAGTGAARGGAACTATTAAAGTTCTACAAGATGGCATCAATTATCGATTCTCTGATTTAGAAAYGAGCAATACCTTAAGAATGGCAAGGTTCTTGGATCCAAAATTCAAACATTATGCTTTAACCAAATCGTTAGGAGATCAAACAAAAACAAAAGTAATAAACGCAGTTGCACAACATATAARAAATAACTCAAATAAYACTGAAACATTACCTGCAGTTCCCTCTGCAGATCCAGTTGAAGAAAGAGATAAATGTTGTATTTGGAATAATTTTGATTCAATGACTTCAGCAATAACACCTCAGGGAACAAATACGTCAAAAGCGATCATTGAAGTAAATAGGTACATTGATGACAACATTACCACGAACAAGTGATTCGTTTAGTTGGTGGAGGGATAACAGTTACAATTACCCTAATTTAAGTACAATTGTTAAAGAAAAATGTTG